GCAACACACAAGATTCACAAAATTCTCACAAGATTCAATTAGTCTCCAAGAAGTTGTCAGTTAGTAAGTGTCAACCACTTATATATAAAATGTTGGGAAAGATAAACACGTGGATAGTAAGACGTTATCTTACACAAGGAGACTACAGTTGATGTAATGTGTTCTAACCTCTATCCAAGCATTCTGGTCACAAATATTTCTCTTAATTACCTAAAGAAGTGTTGAAAAACAAGGACAGGTCGGAACAATAGGGAATTCATAGTGATTCAATTTGCTCACAAATCTGAAACACATCAGCACCTATTCAGTCTAATGAGATTTGGCACAAATTATTGAACTAGCTATCCATCAATAGGAGCAGCTAGCACATGATACACTGAATAGCTGGAGTGGGCTACAATGCATGCTACAAGTAAAGCAATAGAAACTTAAGTGTATAAAATGACACAAGCAGTTGCAATAATCTACTTCATATGGCAAGAGAGAAATTACAGAATTTTTCAACCCAAGGAAAGGAACACAAAGGTGCTCACTAGACAAATCATTCAGGAAATTCAACAGCAGAGGTAGTATGACTCCTACAATGGCAAGCGTTATGAATAACAAATATTGACGTCCAATTAAACTTTATACAACTAACCTCATCACACCATTCTTGTCCAGAATGTGCCAATTTGAAAAACCAGTGTCTTTCTGCTACATTACAAATACCTAATTCAAATGCTGGACTGATAACATTAAGAACATCCGTATAAGGTTTCTTTCCCCTATCAAAACATAAAAAAATTAAAACATAAATACTCGGAAACGGGACAGCAACAAATAAAAAAGAGGTAACTAAGGAAACTAAAGAAGAGTGAATTAAGAAACTTGTATCTATTGTGAATTAGAGGTAACGAGAGAGTTCTATAGATTGAATTAAACTTGTATCTATTATGAATTATGTAAGTTATTCAGTAGTAACAAATTAACCAACAAACTTCAAAATGAATTACCTCTTCTTTGTACCCATATAAAGCCACTTAATGAATGAATCGATCAAATCCGATTCATTATCTCCTCCAGTTGCATATGAAAAAGGATGTTTTGTCTCAAAAAACTAACGTGTTACACATAAAGTTCCTCCAGATTCGAACTGTTGTGTGTAGGGAGATGTTATTAACTTTCCAGGATTTTTCTTTCTGCCACGTTTCTTCAGTGTCACTTTCCTTTTGTTTTGATCAACAGGGGCTCGTTTCTTTAGATAAGATTCTTCAGTCCTATTGATCTGAGAAAGATCTTCATCAAGAAAAATAAAATCATCAAGAGTATGCAAAGGTTTTTGACAATCCTCTGTTGCATCTGCATACAATAGACATATTGATTAATTTACAGTCAACAGATGCAACAGTTATTTATGTTGGCTTTGTTGACTACATTACCATAAAGTTGCGCCCCAACTGTATTCACATCAGCAACCTCTTGGACTGTAAGCAAAGTAAATATTTTAATAATGTTATTAAAATAAAATGAAAGAAGTTTATTTGAAGTGAAGAAAATTAATACCATTTATATCAGCAACAACCTCTGACAAAACTTTTTCAATAGCAATTCCTGCAACATCTTCCTCTGTACATAACAAAAACATTTAAAATAAGATAGTTGAATTAACATATATGAAATATGTAATATATTTGTATAAAACCCTTCATTACCTATTTAACTTGATACTCTTTCAAAATTTTCAACGTCAGCAAATCTAACTGAAGTTTTAAGCACTTGAGATTCTTCATTTTGATTTGATCTCATAACATGAGCATCGTGACCTCTTGATTCATTTACAGATGCATTAACATAGGGAGAGAATGCTGTATATGTAATTAACACATATTATAAGAAAAACATATTAAAAGTATATTATGACTATAACAGAAATGTATTGAAAATATAAAGAAACCTCCATTGAAATCTAATCCACCCGAAAACGTCTCGCCAGCCTGCTTCTTAGATGGTTCCCTGACTTCTCTGATAACAGAGCTGCTGCCACCATTCTTAGCAAACAACAAAGAAATATCCTCCAATAATTGTTTGTTAGAATTCACCACAAATTCTTTGATTTCATTAAATCCTAAATCAATCTTCTCTTCAAGTGCTTTGTTATTTTCATTCACCTAGTAGATATTAAACCATAACAAAAAAATTAAAATATAAAAGTTCTGGAAAAAAAGAGCCTAAAGTCAAGTTTGTATATACCTTTACAAGTTCTTTTCTCAATTCAATAACTTCATTGGTCAACATGTCTAGACCATGACTTGATCCTTTAGGCTCCAATTTCAAAATTTCAGCATTGTAATCACGAGGTTCATGAAGCCTGCATTTAGATACTTCATCTTCACTAGCCACTATGTTCTCAAACTGAAAAACCAAATAAACAAAATAAAAATAGATATAGTAACTTGAGTAGAATTAAACAATGCCATAAAATGTATTAACTTTGTACAAATACCTTATTTTTTGTAGGCATGAAGAGACATTTCTCAATATATTTTTGCCATGGACTTTCGGCAATTGTCTTCCAATTCAAGATTCTTGGAATTGAGTTAGCAACCCGAATGGCTATATCTTCATCAACTTTTGAACAACACTCAAAAATCCAAATTTGAAGAGCAAGAGGCAAGCCACCCAATCTATAGTATTTATGGGTTGACTTAAGCTCATGTCTCACAGAATCAGACAACTTTTTGTAGACATCTAAACCCCACGGATATGAATTGAATTGTCCATTTTCCACAAGTAAAAATCTCTATTACTAATTTGGTATTCGTTGTCCTCATATGAAATAAAAAATACATTAATGAAGAAGAGAACAGCCAATGAAACAGTTGAGTCATCATCTAGGAATTTTTTAGCTAGAAACAACGCACGTAGATGACCCTTTGCAACAGTGATTTTTTCCGGAAAATAACTACTCAACAAACTACATTTAGAATCAGGAACATTGATAGGAGTGCCATCACTAACACAATTTAAGCCGGTAACTATTCCAAATTCTCTAAGACCAAAAACAACTTTTTGTTATTTATTTCAATAGCAAACACATCATCCGGTGTGTGTTTTAACTCTCTATTTATAAGGAAATGAATAACTTGTAGTTGTGTGCTCGCTTGTGGAAGGTCAAGAAAGTAACCAAAACATGTATTCCTGAACAACTCAAGTTGTTTATCAGATAAAGATAGTTTGATTTGGTCGATGACACTATGATTAGTGTAAGATGACCACCTACTCGCAATATACACAACATCCGGATGTTTCCAGAATTTACGATCCTGCATATGTATTAAACATGAATTAAAAATGTGTTACTACATACTAAAGTTGAATTAAAGATGAATTTCACATACTATGTATCAAAGCAAGGTAGTAATCAGTTGAATTAAAGATGAATTACACCGATAACCACTTCTGATTCCAAATTCAGACCCAGAACTTATCAACTTCGACACAAGCAGCCTAAACAATGATCTAGTTGTCATACACTTAAAGCTCTATTTTATATCGAAAAACCAACTTCCAAAGCAATTTAAACCTACATTTCCACTTTATCCATTGGAACAAAACATTCGAGTGCGGGAGAAAAAATCAGATAGAACATGGAACAATGTTACACCAAAATATATGATGTGTCATCTCATTTACACATCTTTTCCATTTGTTTTCCAAATTAACACGAACAAGTGTTACCAGCTATTTGACAAGCTCCCACTAATTCTAGACAAAACAATGGACAAAGAGGAGATATTTTGCAATTAAGTAAAACATAAATGTCAAATTCAAAGTGACTGCTAGCTTCCTGCTATAGCACTGCTCTTCATTGGAAGAGTATTGAAATAGTCATGTACATGATTCCCACACACCCCGCCTCCTTCAAATATATGATGAAACATTTGCTCATATTGCTTCCTGCCACTTTTTAAGAAGAACATTCTGAGCCCGATATATAACCTCCTAATATATTCAAGACACTAGGACACTCAATCCCAAAC